TGTCTGTGACCTATTATAGCGGTACAAAGCCGCACGTTCACATCCCTTCAACCATGTACATGACTCCCGTTTCTTGATCACTAATCACTTAGAAAATGAATGGGAAATATTTAATCGGTACACATGTTTATTTAATATGTTTTATAGGACAACATTAGTATAAAATTACAGTACCTTAGATGCTACCTATTCCTAATAACATTTAGAAACAAGATTACAACAAGACTTTCAACATTAAGTACGAAAATACGTTTAGCCGTTACCGTTAGAGTATGAAAGTAATGCACAAGACAGCAATTGGGGAGTTTCGACGTTTCAATAAAATAAAATATAAAAAAATAATTACACTTTTATTCATCGATCGATCGATACACTAAGTTTTAGATAATTATTTTGTAGCTAATTATAAAGAAACAAGTAGGCTATTTGACGCAAAAATTCTATGACGTCGTAACTCAGTTGTTCATAGAAAAGTATCGTTTTTGAAATTTGGTTAAAAGTATTGAATTTGGCTAGTTGGAAACTACCTTATTCACGCTATAAATGTATTTCATAGACTTGAAAGATGATATACATATTAATATTATATATTTTTTCCCTCTTTTTAAATGTCTCTATAGTTTTTAATTGTAATTGTAATATACTAACTGTTGTCGTTACGTTACAGAGCATGTTGTGACACATTAAAGGTTGTGCATTTCATTTTATAATTACTTAAGTTTTTAAATATAAGTTTAAATGTAACAACTACTAGTTGTCCATAATAAATAAATAAATATATAAGTGAACATAAATAGCTGAGTATCGACGTCAAAGGTTGTGTTTCACTATTCTGATGAATATTTGTTAGCAAATTGCTTATCATCTTAGCTTTGAAAACCGAAGAATCTCGGATTCTGATATTATCTGTCGTTCTACCACTATCCGCGGTTAGACGCATCTTTCCACTGAGATGGATCTGGAGTCACTTCAGTTGTTACTATTATTATTATTATAACTTAGTTGTCGTAGATCTAATATTTTCTACCTATTAATTGCTTTTGCAAATCTAATGTTTATTAATCGAGTTGAGAATGGCAAATCTCCAAAGCGTATGAGCACGGCGAATTTGTTTTATGATATTTTCGATGTTTTAATCGACGGTAATTATTTCTGTCTTTTATAGGCGCCTCATTTGCTTTTTTTTTAACATAAAATTACTTTTTGGCGTTATTGGATTTAGAGATCTGCTTTAATGGTGAATTGATGATTGAGTTTAACACAATTTAATTAAAAGCTTAATGTACTACTAGTACTAGTAAAAACAAAGGAATTGAATTTGACATCAGTTGTGACCATTCCTATTATATGAAGAGAGGGTGAGACGGAGATGTATACATTTAACTACAGTATAGCAATTATTTCGTAGCAACAATTACATAATAATAAATCAACAAATTCTATACCCATTTAGTCTTTAATGACTAACATTGTGTTCACGTTCATAAAAGCCTACTTCACAACTTATTGAATACACGATTCCTTTGAAACAATAAAGAGCAAGTAACGTGATGTACTTCACACCTTTCATGCGACTTTGACCTTTGAAATTTGGTTGTATAACCAGATTTGGGGCTAAGAAAACTCTTTCGAAGCCTCTAAAGTTATTTGAAGTTTATCAATAAGTATAACTGAGCTGTGCTGGAACTTTACTTGTTCTGAGGAAAGGTCGAAATAGAAAGGGTGTATTATGTATTTAAGTGGAATAATTTCTGTAAATAGCTTTGTTGCTACGTTTGGTACTTAGTTTTACGTATAGGGGGTTTGGATTTTCGAGAACTGTAATGCGACCGACGTCTGACCGAAGCTGGTAACCGAAATAAAATAAAATACGCAGTGCTGGCCGGCCAGCAACACCCTTTAATTACTGTGCACGTGGATTTGTGGAATTGTTATTTCTGACTGGAATAAAGGTGACCGTTGGTGTGTTTTCTCGAACCACATGTGTTTGTTAATCTACGTCGGTCATCGGGATAAGGACCTTTTTGCTGTATTCGGGTCACGATTTTAGGATCCAGAATTTTATTATTTGATCACCGAAGGCGAAAAATACTTCATCCACATATAGATGAACTAGGTGTCACAACATACTAGTCAAGTAGTATATGAAAGCCATATTTCAAAAATCAGTTAGCGATGTAAAATTGTAATAGGTCACGACAGCTTTAGTGGCGCTCAATTGCCATGCATTTAGTATGAGGATCGACTATTCTGGTTGCAACGGACGTCTACAACGACATGGTTGAAATTGTGAAATTATTTATATTATAACTAGCATGTCGCCAACAGTTTCGTTTGCGTGATGGTTGAAAATTTTCCCATAGGATCCTATTAGGTACTGAGACCAGACAAAAAAAATTATGAAACTTAATTCAATGGCTTCGAGAAAGAGTTATTATAGGCAAAACTGTAGTCTTTTTTTAAAAATATATTTTTGGCCCGAATGATTTGGGCTGACCGTTGACAAGTCAGTCGGTTTTAAAAAAACATATATCTTTCCACAGATTAGCAGTTAGATGTCTCTCAACTGCTTGAGTCGATGAAGCAAGGCGAAGCCATTATTATAATCACAATTATTTCCATTAAAATACCGTCTTAAGGCTAATTTAAAAAAAGTAACGTTTTTCATTTTTTATGGATTAATATCTTTTGTTATGGATTTGGGGATTGGAGAAGAGGGTAGGGTATACCTAGGGCTGGAACTTCGATAACCTCACTCAGAAAGCATGTTATTATTTCATGCACGTTTGGTATAGGTCTAGCTATCACTTTAGTCAAGCCGGCCTATTCTTGCCAAAGCATGACTTCCACTTTTAAGCCTCGCCGTATCTGCCAACGACGATACTCTGGCCATTATCTTACCTAGCAATTAGCATGAACCTAAAGATAAATAGCGCTCAAGTTTGTCACCACTACCTGCCACACCCCAATGGGGGTAAGAACAAAAGTTTTCCAAGAAAACAAGTTTTACTCAATGGCAATGTAAAATGATTGGACATATTCACATGACAGTAAGCAGTTATTTTTCAGTAGTGTAGTATGGCATGAATAAATCCTGCAGCCACGACTGCGGTATACCGATAACGCATTGAATTTCACACTTTATGTAATACTCATATAAAGCACAATATGTTTCGTTGTTCTTTCAGTATCTTTATTAATATTATAAACGGGAAAGTATCTCTCTTGTTTGTCTTTCTTTTGTGTCGTGACTGACGATGACGGTGCACATTTTTTGGTTTGATTTCTGTGTCTGGAGATTGATTGATTTATTTTTCCATTTTATTACGCGGACGAAGCCATGGACAGCGGAAGCTAGTCTTTTTAGTACTTCCCTGAACTTCCACGAATTATTGAAGACTAAAATTAGCCAAATCGATAAAGGCATTGTTGAGTTATAACATTACGACGAAGAGGGGCAGTGATTTTTTAATTTAAAGATGAGATATATGCGTCACAGGTCTAGTATCTGCTGTTAATTGATTCAATATTGGTCTATTCAGAGATGCTATATACTAAACAATATATGGTTCAAAATTTTAGTATGTTGTAAACATATACAAGACGTAAATTAATGAAAATCTGCATAACAATGTTGGTATATGTTGTTATATGTTGCTTACAATAAACACTTCGTCGATATTCTAGCGTATTTAACCACGAATACTGACGTTTATTGTTGTCCTATTACTTACATGAACTAATTATCTTTTGTTCCACAAGCTATACGTGTAGTTGTATTGTTATTTTGGCGCCAATACTGTTACGCTTCCCGCTTCTGTTTATGCGATTCGCACAGAAATAAATAGTGATTCGTAATTTCGTTCACAAATCGTACGAAAGTATACAAAATGTGTTTTGTTGTTCCGCTTTATAAATAAACCCGAGTGACTGAACTTTCATTTCAAAACAATGGTTTTTGTTTAAAATCTTTATTTGTTAATAAAGTAAGTATCCTGAATGAACTAAGTAGGTAATTGGGTTAAAATGTTTCTTCTTAAACGTTATGTTTACTTATAATTTTTCAATCACTAATTACCAAATATTGGATTTCGATATATGTATATATTATAAAGCTAAATTTACACTCGGCTATCAAACTTTCATATTTCTCACGAAGTAGGTAATGTATTTTTACGTAGAGATCAACTCTTAGAACCTTCTCAAATATAGGGACAGTCATAAAGCGATCTCTTAATTAATGGAGTTTCTATACACTTTATTAGTTTGAAGTCCAGTTCATAACGTAGCCGTATGAGCGTTTACGTGGCATTCTGAATTAAAAAAATAGAAACTAACAAACCGATTTGAATCTAATAATAACAATAAAATATAAACTAACCTAAACTTTTTTACTTAATAGACAGATGAGATATGAGTATCAAGTTACATTAAAATCGATAAAGCAGTTTCCATGTTTGATTATTGACTTATAAATAATATGAAAGCCCGTGCGGCGTGAACGCTATAACCAAAGTTTTCTACTTAGGCGCCAAGTCCTAGAGCCAATTAAATCCAACCGGTATTCAGCAGTTTCAAATGAATCCGAAGACCTTTTACTAGCAATTTTTTCCAACTTCTATAAACAAGATTATCGATTAAGATATTAATCGATTACGTTATATTCTCACATTAAGTTATGGTAAAATTTTGACTTGAATATCGACCCATCCTAGCTTCTACCAAATTTCTCCACTATTTAATGGATGTTATCATACATACATTACACGTTCCTCTTAGATCATCCTATCTATTAAAAAATCGCATCAAAATCTGTTGTGTAGGTTTAAAGATTTAAGTAAAGTTAGGAATATAGGGACAGAGAAAGTGGAGGATATATGGACTATTACAATTTAAATTTTAAAAATACAATAAAAATGATAATGAAAATTAAGGTAGATTGATCTAGAAAAGGCATGATCAAGAGTTTCTAGTTGCTACAATGCAAAAAAATCACTTACCCGTTTCTGTTGCAAAAAGCAATGCATAGCTTGAGTAACGTCAGCCGCATGAATCGAGTTGTGGTAAGGATTCGTGCTGTGGTATCCTTCTTCAATTAGGCTAAACAATTTCCATGCTTTAGCAGCGTCGAGGTTGAAGTGTGCCAACAGTCCGTACATCTGGAATAGATGCACGCACAGCACTGGCAAACATCTCCCTGTTGGAAAAAAGAAAATAATTAGTACAACTTTCTTTTGTAAGAAATTCATATATAAACTTGAAATGTTCAAACTTCTTCAAGAATACTATACAAAGGAGAGCTACTATTGTCTATTCAGATCAATATTATTGATTAGATTGTCAAGAAATGCACACAATTAGGTGACGATGTAATTATAAAAGTAGCCTTAACGTAATCTGAATAAAGTATATTTTAAGGCACCGCTAACATTTTTTAAAGTACTACAAAGGGCCTTCCGCGACTACCAACTCAAGATGAACCAAAGCCAACGTCAACAGGTGTGTATGTATGTGAGTATTAAAAAGTATTATGTACTGCTAAGTACTGAACCGACTAACAATAATTGTCTAGGTTTATTAAAATTTGTGTAGCTGTACGTCTAAAAGTTCTTAATGAGTGTATACAAAATAATTGTTGAAGATTTAATCTTAATGTGCACATAAATAATAATACGGTTCATTATTTGTGCCTTTCACGCCAAAATTACACAGCATCGTTTCGTTTTTCCACCAAACAAATGAAGATATTTTTAGCCGGTAACAAAAACGGCTCCATTTAATTGCAAGGGTTCACGACTTAGGTCACTATTAACTTTTCCCCCTGAAAACAGTTCAAGTAAATAGGACTACGTTTTCTTAGGATTCCTTTTCTCAGAATAAAAAATCAAGTTAGAAATATCTGTAGAGACGTAGGCAGACAAAAATAGCAACGTAAACATTGGCTGAAGTTTGGGTCTCGAGTTTAAATATGGTGGAGGCTCTGGTTAAAGTTTAAATTAATGTCAATGGGGACACGCTGCTGGAGACAAGGCCTGTGGTAAACGAAGGCCGGACGGACCACGGGACCGAATAACTTCGGATCAACCAAAAATAAATAGCAACTTCGTACTCTATCCAAATAACAACATATTGCTACATTAACATCGCCAGTTCAGAAGCTCATGTTTTAAAGAAATTGCTTTTTATTGCTGACCATTTGATTATTCCGATGTACAAAGTCTTATGTCAATTTATAATCCGATACTGCATTGCACTACCTGGGGCAGTAATGGAAAAAAATGTTGATACTTTCAATAGAACGAGCTCAAAGAGCGCTCTTGAAAGTCGCCATTTGCGGGCGGTGCCGTTTCTTTATAAGCCTATATTATACTTTTTCTATAAGTGTTGGTAAGTTTTATAACTATTTATATTTTTCCCTGTACTTAAACACCATACGCCTAAATGCGATGCAATGGTCTTACACCAAGAGACGGGAAAATATCGTTTGTACTTTTAGCTTTTGAAAGACTTCCCTCGCCCAGGATAAGGCAAAAGGGAGTTACAGACTCCGCCGGAGCCGTAGCTTTATACCTAGACTAAAAAATAAAGATTTAAATTACCAAAATCTGTTTAATTACAAATATACTACGATTCAATTGGCATGACAAAGATCCTTATATTCTGGAGTCTCTTCTATTATTTACTTACAATTTTACTGACGTGCAAATGAGTCAACGATGAGTTGTATAAATTGAACATCAAGTATCAAACTGTATTGTTTCAGACGTAAAATGGACGATATCCACAGAAAACCATATTGCTTTTTAAAAGCATAACAAACAGTTTATTTTATCTTATTTAATAGGATTGAGTTGTGCAATCCCGATATTGTAAACTCGAGTAATTTAGCAAATTGAACTTTTCTTCGTCAAACACATCGATTTGTGAAATATCGCTCATGCACTTAATTCTTTATTGACGAACAAACAGTACATTAAAATAATTGAATACACTTTTTATACGTTTCATATTTTTAATCGTTTTGAGTGAATGCTTCTCGGGTGCATGTCTATAGAATTTATGTCGTATTGTCAAAGTAAATTATGTCACTGGCGCAAAAGGATGAAGTTAACGGGTTTTCGGGGATTAAAGTTATTTATCGTTCGCTCGCTTCTTAGCGTTTCGGTCGATAAAATATTTTGACGCTGGTTAGAAACTTGGTCGCTTTGTGCTATTGCCGATGATTAGATTAAGGGAAGATTTGTATTATTTGGAAAAATAAGGATCTATTCGCCGTTTCACGTATACAGAGACACAAATAAATAAATACCATAAAGAGAATAAATACAACTCAAGCTAAATAAAAAAGAGCGTAATAAATGAAAATAAATCAAGATATAAAACTTATTGATTATGTTGCTAAGCATAGCACAGCCGGGCCTCCTAACTTATTTTGAGCGCGGTAGCATTCGAGGCTGATTTGCGGGTGCAACCCTGGCCTGGGCGGGGTGATAAATAAAAATATGGTGTGTGTTTAAGCTAGATAGATAGTATTAATTTGACGAACAATGATAAAAATCATAAATATTGGTATATAAATGACAATAGTTGTTTCATTGTCTTTTTAAATTGTATTTTTAGGGAAAATCACCAAGTGACTTTCTTTCTTCCTGGGTACGTACGGCAAGAGAGTCTATTATTGACTGAAAATCACGCCGTTGCTTTGCCTGTTCCAGGCCGGAGCCGGAGGTACTTCATTGCAGTATGGTAGTGGGTATTCAGTATGGGATCCACAAGAAAAGTTATATAGCGTCATGATCGAAAAAGTGCAACGTAAGTTTGCACGTTTCATATACAAACGCGAGTACGGATATTATCCATTTTTATACCCTTCAATATTTGTCAGTGGTATGGTGGGCTTAGACACGTTGGAACTCAGGAGGAAACATGTACATATGTTGCATTATTACTATTTATTAATTGGTAGAATAGATAATCCATCTGTACGTGAGACCATTCATTTTTATGTTCCCGATAGATATTTACGTGGTTCTGGTAGGAGGCGTCACCGGTTACTTGCTTCTTCACCGAGTTGGCGCTCCCCTCACGGTGGTAACTGTCCTACAGGTCGGGCGGTTCCTATGTTGAATGATTTCCTACAGTGCAACCTAGATGCAGACTTATTTTTTGATGGTGTCAATATTATGTCAAGACACTTTTTAAGATATTTAAATAATTTTAATTAATGTTATTCTTCTTTTAATTATTATAATTTTGTCTAATTAATTTTATTTTTCAATGTAAATTTTATTATGATATTTAGCATAACATGGTAAATTTGTATAACTGTGCACATTAAATTACGTGATGCACGTAATTTAATGTAAAGTAGATAAACTAGATTTTCATAAATGTTTGTAATTTAATTTAAGATAACATTTAGACGACTTGGTCTCGTACTGTAAGTCTATTTTGTTAAAGTTATAAATAAATAAATAAATAAATAAATTGCACCCGCAATCGCGGCTGACTTGACATAAGTTTAAAATTGAAATAAAAATATTGGTTTCGTACCGGTCAGAATGATTTGAAATTTTGACGTACGATTCTCGTATGTATTATTCATGTCATTAGGCACTAATTTGGACTCAATATTATTACATCTTCTATTTTGAATTTTGAAATACGAACTAGTATTCGAATTGAAGTCAATTCGACGAGATGTTATCGGCGAAAGAGCCAGCCAAGTCAACAGGTTGGAATATGAATTGAACAACTTCATTGCATTGATGCCAGCCAGACAGCAGGTTAGCCCACTTTGCCATCAATTTCCTATATTAGATGCTCGAAATTATTGTTTGGATTTAAAGACTAAAATCCATTAAAATATTGATAGTGTGGAAAATGTGGAATAAACTAGTATTAACTTTTAGTGGTAATATTACGAAAATAATCAAATTTTATGTAGTCTAGTCTGTCGATATCGTGATTAAATAGAGTTGTGACCCTTTGACGTATAAAGGCCTTATGAAAATAATTTTTTCGTGTTATTAGCTATAGTCTGATGCATAATATACTAAGTTTGTATTCATATTGTTAATAAACAAAACACAATATTATTATGTAATACTAGACTTGAACAGTCGTACTTATAAACAGCGTTTAGTAAAATATTCAAATAGTCGATTAAAAGATGTATTAGTATGTATATGTTATAAGTGTAGCTCTATTGTTAGTTTGACATAACCGCGATTACCGAGACATGTCCGTGACTATGGCGGGCAAAGAGGAGTCATGTTCATGTTACAAACACGCCTGCCACATAACATCTTACAATGTTAATTTCAAACAACCATTCACAATTATTATGCAAACAGTGTTTAGAGGTTCGTATTTTTCAGCCCGATTAGACAATAGCTTTACAATATTTAACCATTGGATATTACCGTACCATTTGTTTTTAAAACATGTATTATTTATGTTACGCTTAGCTATACATATAGCTACGTTTATACATTGTTTTAGTTTTGTGTTGTTAATATCTTTTATTTCGCCGGTTAGTTATAGACAAAATTACGATTGTATTTTTTGGAAAGGTTACTTTGAAGACTGTTAAACATTAGTAAGTCGAAATTCTTACCTATCTACTCAAAAAACTGACTGATTTATTCACGTAAAATTAATTAAATGACTGCTTCTTTGACTTAGATACGTATCGACGTTACCTAATAATACTCACAGGAACATGTATAAAGTAAATCAGTATATACGATGAGCAATTCTGCTTTGACGATCAAAGGATTCCGTGAAGAGGTCTAATAATCGGCATCCCTCGCGTGTTTCCCTTCCCAAAGTTCCGCAGCGAAAGTGTTAAATTGTTTATATATAATCTCTCCTTGGAAACCACATACACACGCTATTCCAAGGATTAGGATGTTCTTAACAATATTAAAGCTTTAGTTGTCAAATATCTTATGTTTTTTATAGAACGGTTTCTATGGGTAAGAAAATTATATGTGCAAACGCGTTACCGACACTGGCAACACCAGTAGAGTTACGAGTGCACTGGCGGTATTTGGAGATTAGGGTTTTTTCACGCCGGTTGTAATTGGTAATTGGCGATCTTACTATTGTTATGGGCAATTTGTTCATTTTTCGCATCGTTTAAATTTGCATAATCGATTCGGCCGCTCTCGAGTTTTAGCGAGACTAACGAACAACAATTAATTTATATAAATATGAGAAACTAGAAAGACAATTTAGTACCTAAATATCGATGGAACACACGATATCATACACGAAATCAGACATTGCTCACCCTTTACCAAGACTGATCGATTTTTCATTTATACTTATTGTAAATTTACGTAATACTCACAAATCTACATATATAAATATACATCCCAATTTATCTTGCCATCGGCAATACCCGTGAACGGCTGTATTAATCCTGATAATACTTTTTAGACTGTTTGCTAAGATCAGTAGAAGGTTCGGAGGGAATGAAACATATTTTTAGATAAACGAGGGGAAAATCGGGATGTCAACGCTTTCGGTGATGTAGCGGTTCGCAATCAAAACAAATGACTGACATCGACGTAGTTGGATATCCGAGCAGGGCGGGGACGGGTCGCTAGTTAAGCATACAAGTTCTACGTCAATTCCAACTCTGGTTGAATTCAAATGAGCAACTTTATTGGGAGTTTAGTATGACATGCGTTTAAGTGCTATATGCAAATTAAGTTAATTATATTCTAAAAGTTCCGAAATAGGGAGGTCCAAGTGTGGGAGAGCCATGCTTCATCACAAATGGGTCGGCTCGACCGGAGTGAGACCACGGCCTCACAGAAAACCGGCGTGAAACAACCACATCGTTGTGTTTCGCCGTTTGAGTGAGGTTATAGGAGGACCAATCCTTCTCCTCCCCCAATCCCTCCTCAATCCCTAAATCTCCAAATCCCTAATCCCTAAAAGGTCAGCAACACACTCGTAACTCCTTCGTTGCGGGTGTCAATGGGCGGCGCTGATTGCTTACCATCAGGTAATCCGTGTGCTCGTTTGCTGACGTATTACATAAAAAAAGGATACTTTGCGAATGAAATTCATACTTTTATTTTAATAATGTACCGCAGCCCCGGTTTGAGGCAGGAGAAGGGATGAGGCGATTATTAGTCATTAAGTGTGACACTCCCTTTCGCCCCACCCAAATGCGGAAGAAGTCACAAGATGATATTTTCTTGTTAAAAAATATCACAATAGAATTTCAAGACTGTATTCTTTAAAACCCTAGATCATGAAACTCGCTTAATTGTTGTCACGTACATCTATTAGCATTTTAGAAAAGCTACAAATAATATAAAATATAACACAACAATTAATGAAATTGCCAACCAACTATCGACTCTTTAACAAGCTAGCTGAACCAACAGCGATACCGATCGTGTTATATTTATGATAGTATTTAATCTGTTAATATACTTATATAGCATTTATTGTTAGAGAACTCATACCAATTGTCTTTCAATTACGTTAATACAGCGATCAATTAGTTATTAATAGCTTTGTTTTGTGTCTTAATTGAGAACTTGTTTGTACCGATGATTTAGCGATTATAAATTGAAATCGACAATTGGGAATCGAGTCACGTGTGTGCTCTCGAATAGCTGACGTTGCCGTAGCAACGGTTGTCGGCCAGTCAGCAATTTAGCTGATTACCCTGTGTTCGCAGGATCGCTTCTGAATCCATTGATTGAACGTCATAGTCTGACGTTTTGTTTGTACTGCAAACTGATGTCTAGCTTTATGATTTGTTTTTATTGTAGGACTGGGGTAAACTCACCTACAAACTGAACCCTAGGCCTATGTATGTAGGGTTCAGTTTAATGTATTGGATTTTAATCGTATAATATTGTGGAAGAGGTCAAAACGTTATATGTCGGAATTAAGCAAGTCTCACAATTAGGTGAGTTTACCCGTTTATCCTATATAAGTTTTTTTGTGAGGGGAAAATCATAAAATGACTTTTCCCGCCCAACCCTGGGCGGGAGGGGGAGTCTCAGCCTCTTACGGACCAAAAACTCCCGTTCCTTCTCCTGCTCCGGGCCAAGGTCGCGGTGCCTCATTGCGCTTGCCCCGCAACCCCGGCTGAATATCAGCTCTGTAGGGCCAAGTCCCTATAGGTACATACCACTCCACGTACCCTATATATATTACGTTGTGAGGACGTTTTGATACTACTATGATCATACATATTTTTGTAATGTTTGTGTTGTCTCTGTGGTGTATAAAAACGTGCAGTTTCTAATGTTACACAATTGTTGTACATATTTATATGGTAGTTGCCAACTAGTTAAATCCAATATTTTTACTGATACTCTGCATTTTATACAAAATCGTAACATACGACGTCATAATGATTTAAACGTCAATATGATACTCATTTTGAAAAATTAGATTATTGAATGGGAATAATAATAATATTAGAAAAGTAATAAAGTTTTATTTTTGACTGGAAGGAAACTACCCAAAACCGAGTAGTACCGATGCGTTCAGTTTTAGTCAATTTTATAAAATTTCAAATACATTCTATGGATGTAGTGAACTTGGACCTTAATGAGTCCTATTTTACAATATGGTGTAGAACCATAATGTATCGATGGCTGTGTATTATCTAGTTGGCATTGGCTTCTATGTGCTTATGGATTTAAGTGTCTTTATTTGGCCTGTATACACGAAGTACATATCTACACTGAGCTAATGCAATATAATGTATCAACTCGTCTACATAAACTTATGTATCGATAAATTTATGATTATAAGTAACCTCCACACTAGTGTCCTAAAAATGTGCCAAAAAAGTTCATTCGTACGCAATTTAATTCGAAAAATTTAGGTATCGATATTTTTCTTACATATCTTTATAATATAAAATTATTATACAGACAAAATGAAATATACATTACTAACCTCCGGAAACGTTCTCCAGTGTGAACGCGTTGAATTTCCACTTGTAAGAATTGTTGAGGATACACTGTAACAAAAGCAGAGAGTTTATTGTCACCTACAAAATCGCTTCTCTGGAAGTCGCTCCCTTATACCGCTACCGCTAGCACAACCTTAGCTAACGCTCGCAAGCCAAAAATATAAAAGTCGCATAAGTAGGTATTCAGTCAACGACCTTTTAGCGAAACCAAACGTACAAAATGTAAACTTGGATTAATAAAGATGCATGTTGTTCCGCGGATTCTTGGCCCGTCGTCAATGTGCATTGCATTAGGTAGGAATTTTAATACTTGTCGACGTCACACGCATGCATTTATCTATAACTCATAATATATTCAACACTTCCTAATATTCATAACGTTTGTCATAAATTAATCCATAATACTAGTTGTTTACGAGGTTGGACTTAAGACTTGAATTTCAACCAGTATGTAAACAAGTAATTTCTGTGACTACCGAGTCTAATTAAATTAGCTATACATGTGACGTCACTACCAGCCAACAATCTGAGGAACAACTGAGTTCTTTCGCAATTGTAATACAAGTCGCATTTATACCGAAAGTATGCTCTAGCGTCCACATCCATAGTACCAGTGTAAACATTAGTCTCATAGATTTTGTATTAAACAAATGTAGTGCACAAGATTATTTCTACTTATTTGATAATAGCTGAGTATCTATCATGCCGTATAAGGCGACGTTACGAACTATACAAGCTAAAAATAAAATCAAGTGCGATAGTGTCGCACCAAACACGGCGACAACTTGCATCGGTACTGGACCAACACTCCGTAGAAATCAGACGCTGACATTTGTAACTTTTTACTCACATTGCGACGTCCTTGCTTCGACTACTTTAAAAGCAGAACGACGTCCAACAATATGTCACAAGAATATACCTACAAATAGTGCGTGTGGACGATTCTTGAATACAAACAAACAACATTTAAATTTGCGGCGGAGCCAGAGACAATACGGGCGTCGCTGTAGCGAAGGACTGCGGAATGACCATGATGGGAGAAACAATGAGTGACGCTGTCGCGTTTAACATGGCCACTATGGTTCGGATTAACTATGCGTCGTGTACACTTCACCACGCATACTTAATTCTGTCGCAACATTTTGGTCAATAGTTGAGCAGGAACGAAAATTACGCTCTTTGCTCTCCGTGTATCCAGCTTTGTATTCCCACGCGTCGAATGATTTTTTTATTGTGATTATCAATCAGATAAGCTGATAAAAAGTATCTGAACATATAAATAAGTTACACTAGCTGGTCTGTAAGCACGGTAGGTCAGTCCTCAATCTTCCGCGCAAGTCGCCGAGACAAACTGTGTGGGTACTCACCTGTACCTGGCCGAGCGATAGGTCGTCAAGTAAGGCCTTCTCTATATACAAGGATCTCGTTATTAATCTTTTTTTCCGTCTCTTATGCATTGTTAAGAAGCGACCTGCAGACAGATTCTTCTGCTTGGTATTGTTCAAGTCTGGGACCTTTTCTTCAAGTTCGTCCGGTTGTGCGTCAGATTCTGTAAAAAACAAGAGCATTAAGTAGGTGGCCACTTAAAAGAATACACGGGGACAAGGTACTGTTAAGCGCGGCGGCTTGAAGCGAGATTTGCCGTGTGTTGTAAGTACCGAGTCAAAATAAAGAAGACAGTACTATATGTATAACCCGAACAGTCGAGGAGGAGCGCGACAATGAATGATGATAATAATATCAACACGAATGTATATCAGGGTACATAGCAGTTTATCAAACACATTGTTTACAAAAGGATTGATAAAATCCAGTAAAAGCGTTTACGAAGCGCTCTAAATAATGTTCCGTTTCTGAGTACCACCATGGCAATCGATTATAGAACTCGACGAAGCTCTTTATAAAGTATTTTTAAAGTCAAAGTTAAATCCATTATTGTAATTAAACAGGCGAGGAAGGCACTTTTGAACGGCAAACAAAACATTTTAAAGATATTCTACTAATATTATAAGCACAAAGTAAAGTTTGTAAGTAAGAATGGAAGGATGTTCAACTCTTTCTTCTCTTTCGCGTAAAAACTACGAAACGGATCTAAAGCAATTTTGGCAAATGTCTGAAATAACACGAAGACTACTTCTACTTTACTTTTTTTTTTTAGTAGCACTTCGGAAGATGCCTCTGGCAGAAAGTAGTTGAAGATAAAGTATCAGTCTGTGGAGCCATGTAATTATATCGTACGGTAACTCTAAGTGAAAATTCCTATGGAGACAATTGAACTAAGTAATGACTAAAATTTTAAAAAGAATAATGTCAATAAATCTTGATCATAAGATTTTTTTTTAAATATTCTTTATTTTTAACCGACTTCCAAAAAAAGGAGGAGGTTCTCAATTCGACCGTATATATGCTTTTTTTATGTTTGTTCGCCGATATCTCCGTTATTTATGAACCGATTTTGATAATTCTTTTTTTATTGGAATGGAGATAGTCCCAGAATGGTCCTATGAAAAGGAAATCAGGATCTGATGATAGAAGACCAGACAAATCGAGGGAAACTTTCAAAAATTGTAGGGGCGAGTGGTGCTTTTGCATATGATTTTAGTAGGCTTTTGACAAATTTATAACTTGCCGATGTTCGAACCCGACCTGATGATGGAGCTGGAAGACAGTCGAGGGATCTCCGTGACTATTTGGAGTAGTTGCCTTGTGTTTGGGCTTGAATGATTCGTATTGGTGAGTACTTTGCACCAAGATTGGTCGTGACTATCATTAAGGGTCTGATGATGAGAACGATGGACAGCTCAGGGAACTCCTGAACGGTTTACAGTAACTACCTCGTGTTTTGACTTCATTCATTGATATCGATGAAAACTTTGCACCTTTATGGATTACAATGAAGTTATGTAGTAAATTGTGATGATGGAGCCGGAAGACAGTCGAAGGATCTCTTTGACTATTTGGAGTAATTATAATGTGTTTGGACTTCATTCATTTATATTGATGAGAACTTTGCACCTATATAGATTATGTATAATGAAGGCCTGCAGTTTATCTGATGATGGAGGTCATTGACATTTGAGGGAATTCCTCAACGATTTACGGCACTGAAAGCTGACTAACTCAAGACTGCCATTACCGTGATTTTCGGTCTCAAGTAGCCGTCGTCTTCTCTTTTGAGAAGCATCCTAGCTTTCTCTGCCTATCACTTAAAATGGTGAAATAAAATAATTTTTAACAAAAAAAAAACCGACTTCAAAACGTAAACTAAAAAGCAAAAAATAAATTGACTTTGTTTAAAGTAATACATATTTTCATTTAGTTAAATATAAAATAATATTTAATAACTATTTTATAATTTTGAAGTCGGTGCCAAGTTATATTTAACTAAATGAAAATATGTATTACTTTAAACATAGTCAATTTATTTTTTGCTTTTTAGTTTACGTTTTGAAGTCGGTTTTTTTTTTGTTAATAATTATTTAAGTTAATATAGATTAATACTATGGAAAAATATTTAATAAAGGCATCAAAGTTAATATTGACCATTCCTTCTCTCGCAATGCTGTGCTTCAATTTTGAAAATGATCTTTTTTCCCGGTAACTTCAATAGTGGTTTAATCATTTTATTATAATGTATAGGAATATAAAGTAATAGTGGTATACCACGAGTCAAACTCTTGACTTGAAAACTTTTGCAATTAGAAAAAAATGCTTTTACAAAATATATTTAAATTCATTATTGATCTTTCTGAGAGCTACAAAGTGGTCAACCTAAAGGACATATCAACATCTAATACTAGATTGAATTATCAATTATTATGTTTAGGCAAACTTCAGCGAATTGGAGAGTGCGTTCAAGTGAACAGACGATAAGCACTCTCGATTACTCACTCAACCCTCCCCTTAAAGCTATAAAAGTTGGTTTTCCATGAAAAAGAAAACGAAGTCTAAAAAGAGAACCGTTCATTACAAAATGAGAGGCCGTATATAATAAAAGTCACCTCTCCCGGCTACAGCGCCGGCCGCTCGATGGTACTCAACATTCGCCAGCCACCACCTAGATTGGGATAACCTTTCGTCCGAATAAGAAACGAGACGAAATATATAAACTAGGCAACGACTGCATTAAGAAATACTGCAGATTTTCCTGTAGCTTAGAAACTTTTTCTTTATTAAAATATATATCTGCAGCTGAATATAAAAATATGAACAAATGAAATCTATGTCAAGTTTTCGGATCAAACTGTGCAAGTTTTAAGTGGTCGCAACTCAATATGTATTGCTCAATTCTTTAATGAACATTTGCAAACTTGGATCCGTACCTAATTGGCATAATTCAGTATTTCAAGTAGTTTCTCAGATAGCACTCGGACAGATCTTTATCGGACAAAACTCATCCGATGCTTATACAGTTTGTAAAAATGGAGAACAGATATGATTCAACCATTCATCCAACATTCCCATAAAATAAGAGCTTGGTATTATTATTCAGATAGGCTGGTTATAATCGATCGATTTAAGTTGTAGTAGGTATTATTCGGAGACCAATATTGAGAAGCACCTCCTTTCATGGTAGCTGATAAAAAGATCTATTTATTATGGGCACTTTAAGCTTCAGTAACAGCATTGTTATTGGACGGTTACTTTGAAGAATTCCTCTTTATTGAGCAAGAATCTTTCCATGAATCCTGTACCTATTCACATCTACAAATGGTTGGAATGGAGGACGGTGACAATTGTACGTGAAAGCAAGTGAAATTGTAGTATATTCTGGTACGGTTTGCTTTACACACAAATTCTGTTTCCGTTTTCTATTTGGTTCGCACATTGCCACTTGTGCTCTTCGATATGGGATCAAGCTATCTTCTATCAAATACAAGCTTTTGCTTACGACATCTATCTCGACACATTGTTCGGGTAGTATTTAAGTGGTCGTAAGATATTTTGTCTGCAAATTAGAGCTATAATTTAAATTAGACCCTTAGTAGGTACCTATGTGTAATAAACTAGTTGTGCGCAAGAAATTTGAAAATACTTTATCGTAGTTTTCTTAGCTGTATTTTAATAACTACGACAAAATAATACAAAAAATATTGGTTTATCTTATACTAGCTACTCTCGCGCGGTTTCCCCCGCTGCTCGGCTCCATTTATCCGTAGCGTGGTGTTTTAGCCTATAGCACTCAGGAACATTGTAGCTATCTACCAGTGAAAGAATTTTGCCAATCCGACCAGCTGTTCCAAAGATTAAGCCCTACATACAAACTTACAAATTTTACCTCTTTATAATATTAGTATAGATTACATGACTACTACAAAAATGAACAGCACAACATAAAAATATTTAAAACAACATATGCGGTGTGTAACAAAGTAAAATTAATGCAAAATATCGTGTTTCCTGGTTGTGTTTCGGCGTTGGTTTCGTTGATCGCCAAAAAACGCTTTTTATTTTTGGTAGTACGAAATCTCTGTATTAATTGCTCCCATGTCTACATAAGGAAGTTTAGTGTGACGCTGGGGGCAGCTCAACCAACGAAATATTGGCTTAAATTGTGGCTCGTATCATGAGGCTTTTTTTGTGAGGGGAAAATCATCAAATCCGAGGTCGCGGTGCCTCATTGCGCTTACCCTGCAACCCCGGCTGAACATCAGCCCTTTAGGGCCCCGTCTGTGGTGGTCTATTGGCTCTTTGAGGCGCGCGCGGAACGCTTCGCGCCGTACGGTCGGGCCTGGTTCTGGTCGGGCGTATCATGGGGCTTAAATATGCGAATTTGTATTGTGAATCTTAGTTTTACTTTAAACCTATAGACGGTCGAAGTTAGCGTGTTTTTTTCAGTATCATTTCTTTACTATTAACGCAAATTGACCAATTTTGTCCCAAACTTACTCAGTAATTTGTCAAAAATTGTATCAAATTGAACACGCTTCGGATACCAGCTGTATTTTAAAATGGGATTTAAAAAACACTGGTTGTTTAGTTTCATTTTGAATTTTGTTCCTGACCTCGCGCTGTTGTAGATATTCGATTCAGAAACTTCTAAGTATCTATTAACAAAGTATTTTATTTCATAATCCAGTAGTAGGCAGATATATAAAAAAATACTTTTCGATTTATTATAACATACGAAACTTATTCAGTCAACATTTGATAAACAGCAACACAATTGCGAACTAAGTCTAGCAATGAGATAAAAATATAGTACGGAATAAAAGTTTCAACATAACACAGGTACTCAGAATGTACTATTTTCGCCTTTTTTCAAATGTTATTATTACATCAACAATTGTGCTGCTATTTTTGTGAAAAGCCACATCTGATAACATGAAAATCAAGTACGAACGTTTGGTGATGGCAAAATAAATAGTTACAAAATGCTGTATTGATACAGTACCACGTTGATAAAGTTCGTTTCGTATTATCTGTTGCGATAATGCACGCGGTAATACGAATACAATAGCCGTGTTGTACTATATTTTGGGAATTAGATACTAAATTAAAACATTGTATAATCGATTGGTCTAGAAACTAAGTACTCGCTTTTTCATG